ATCTCTATAGTCTATTTCAAATAAATTGTTATCCATTGTAAATAAATTACATCATTTTACCTTGGAATTGGTTTAATTAATGTCAATTGAAAATGTGCCAAAGAGCAATTTACTTCTCTAGATATTTCCAAGTATGTTTGTTCTAATGTATATCAGAGATATTCACTACCCAAAAATGTATTTTATTTTCTTAAAAAAGTATAAATCTATTTTTTGTAATGTAAACTAATATATATTTTTCATCTAACATTTTAAAATTAATTTAAAAATAAATTTATAATCATCAGTTTATAATTACATAATGGAAGATATCAACATAAAGATGCCCTTTATTTGAAAAAATAAATAAATTTATGATGATGATTACGATTTCATGCCAATATTTACATACTTCAAAATGTCTTCTTTCAGAAACCAATTCAGAGAACCTGATTAGCATTTGATTTATATTGAATATCTAACATTCTCATGTCAAATATAATAAAGTAAAATTATTAAAATATATTAAAAGTAATATAAAAGGATAATAACTCAGTTATACAGTTGATAGTTTTCAATAATACAGTAGATCCTTGGTTAACCAAAGCTGTACACTACATTAATTAAACTGTAATTCAAAAAGAAACTTTAAAATGATAGCACATATGAATAATTTTCTGTTACCTTTTATCATTTAATGTGAGACAAACCATTCATATTAAAATTTAACTACAATAATACATATTTTTATCCTTAAAACTATTGTACATATTAGTTGTATAATGAATAATAAAACTGTTATTCTTAAATTTGATTAAATTCAATAAGATACATAAAAAAGGCTTAATTTATATGGTATAAATGGCTGGATTTATAATTTTTAATTTGAAATGACTGTGGTTGTCTGTCTCATTAAAGTTTTTCATTATCTGAGGTAACACTGATCCTCATTAACTCAGATAATCAGAGTTCTACTATATAAAAAAATAAAGATTATAAATAGATATTAGAAATGTTCAGTAAATTAACTTATTTAAAAATATAAAAATTATCTTCAGTGTTTAATCAAAATTAAAATATGATTTTATTTAACTTAATAACAATCAATTAAGAAGAATTAATGATGCTACTTTTGCAGTACAATAAAATCACTCAAGTGTAGCTTCATTTATAATAGAACAACTTAATTTTAACTTTATTTGGAATAGATTATATTATCATCATAAAAAATAGCAATATTTTAGCATCATTTATCATTTAATGATGTTAGGAAATGAAATCATCATCAGATAATGACAATTTTTGGTCTTTTAAACTAAATGAATAACACAAAGAATATAAGTGAATAAAAAAGTTTTACATATCTAAACAGTAATTAATAAGATGGCTCTATAATTCTTTTAAATAAAACTAAAACCAAATTTACATTTAAAAAAATGCAAAATAATTTTATCATCAAACTTTCCAAATAGTCAAAATATCTAATTCTTAAAAAGTTCATACAAAAATCAATTCTCAATATTATTTCAAATCTTATTGTTCATTTGCTTATTTTATTTTTATGCTAGAAAACAATCCTAAAATCAAATGCAATATAAGCTCCAACCTATTCATATGATTTTAAAATCAACAAATCAAACTATAATATAAAAAATTATATAATGTCTTTAATCATAATTACTGTTCAAGTTTAGTTAAGGAAAACTGAAAATTGATTAATTGAACTTGATTAATATGAAAATGAAGTTGAATAAAATACTCCAATTCATTAAACATTTTTACTTTATCTCAAAAGAATAGAAATGACTGTCTTTGCTCTAACTTCATAAAATAATTTAAAATATATGTATTATGTACTATACAGTACTTTATATAAAAACTTTAGCTATACATAGAAAAATATATATATATATAAAAGGTTTAAGAAATATTGTTTCTCTCTTTCATTTTTTTAATTTGTTATATATATATATATAACTTATTTTAGTTCTAAAAAAAGAAAAATTACCAAAAAAGCTTTTAAAGATACATTTTTATTGCAATACATAACAGTGATTGGAAAAAATGTATTGCTCTTGCAATAAATTGGCCAGGCTATGTCAGAAAGGCATTCTGAGCTAATGCAAACAGTTAAAACTGTCACTCTTTTAGTTGATTAGATACATTGCTTCTTTGTGACACTTCAAAATGTCACTTTGAACAGACTAAAAGAAAAAGGAACTTCATTAAATCTCATCCAAAACAAGCAAAAATAGTCTCAATAACTTCTCCCATATATATACACTTCTCATTATACACTAAAGTATAATGATTGTCAAAGAGTAAATTTCTGGAAATGATATTTGAGCTCTAAAATAAAACCAAATTCCCTCTTATTGAATGATGAGATCCATACTGACGTAGAAACTCAACACTTAATGAACAATTGAAAAAGACTAAAAGTAATCTGAACATGCAAAGAAATTGTAAGTCATTACTATTGTAAATGATTTTCTTGAATCATTGGATTAAATAATCAATACAAAATTAGCTTGTCCTCTAAGAACATCTCTTATCATTGGCTTCCAAATTAGGAGAGTACTTCCCATAAATAAAAAAATGCAATGAATGAGAAATCCATTCATAGAATAAAATATTCAAAAAGCAAATCTAACTTCAATAAATGAAGATATGGTGATTGAAATGTCATGTGATTCAACTCTGAAATTGTATTTATCACTGTTAAACATTTTTGATTTAAAAACAAAGCAAAAGCAAAAATACCCAAAACTGTGGATTGTAAAAATACATCATCAGAATACTCCCAAGAATAGTAAAATATTTAGTAATGTTTTTGATTATTTACTTATGTAAACAGATATTTTCATTTTTTGAGGTTTTAAAACACAAATATAGGAATAAATTTAGTATTTAGAATGATATGGAAAGTTAAAACTGACTTCAATCAATATCTAGACTACTTGAAACCATCCTTCTAACTATTACAACTTTATTATAATTTCTTTGAATTTCATTTGTAATATTAAAAGAACATTTTCAATGATTTTTATATTAAAAATATACTTGAAAAGTAATTTTAATTACTGATATAGTTTTGATAATTATTTTTTGATAAATAAAAAAAATGAAGATTGAAAATTTTCAATTTTCCCATTAAATTTTGTAAAAACTTATTTTTTGAAACAAGAAAAGAAGTTAGGTATCTTTGGATCATTGTTTAATGGACAACAGATCACAAAGTTCAAGAAGTACTGCTATAAAGGNCCACAATTTTGTGAAAATATGTTTATTAAAAAAATTCAATATTTGTTTTATATAATATTTATATTATATAATAAAATCGCAATACAGAACTGCAGTACAGAATAAAAAAGTACAGAACTGTGGCTCCCATGCATTTTGCAAAACCTACATTTCGGCTCCCACTGAACTCTTGCTTGCCCACCCCTGATATATTATGTTTATTTTGTAATGGCATATAATTTTGCATTTTTAAATTTTTATGTTCCATGCAAAGAGCAATTTGAAAATGTGTTCTATCACTAGATTTATAATGTTCCATCTGCCATATTACCTGAAGAAGACTGTTATATAATGTTGAAAATGCTAGTACTCATTAATTAAATATATTTACAAGTAATGCCAATAGATAGTGTTTATATTTTTGTTTATCAATAATAACCCATTCCAAGACTCATTCCAATCTAGAAAATCCACTTTGCTCCACCACCTTTGTTTCTGATGTACTGTACAGTACATACATGTACTATACCTGATGACCATAGAAACATTGCATACCTTAAAGATCCTGCTAACTTCTATTGTAATCTGAGCTACAGATACTACAAGTATTGTTTTTAGTTTTAGACTTTATAATACATGAAACAATAATCTTTGGAAGCATTAATAGTTTTATTACTTGTTGTTTGAGCTTTGTTCTATCTTTGATAACACAACAACATATATATGGAATAAGCATATGGTTACACAGATTGTTTTCTTAGTGGTCCATTTCCATAGTTTGGCAATAGCCAGGTCCAGATTAAGGAGGTTTAACCTGTAAATTTTAAAAACATATTTTACTGAAATTTTAAATATAAGTAATTGTTAATTTCTATTTTACCATGAACAATATTATATTTTAAATACATTGATGTGTAAATCCAAAATTTTTTAATTCTCAAATAGGAGTATTACATAATGTTTTATTTCTGTAAAATACATTTGGTTTTGAAATGAAGTTTCAATTTTGTATATTTATGTAAATTCTGGTGTTTTGAATAGAACTGAATAAAATTTTGATGTTATTTTGGTAGTTTAAAAAATAACAATAATGAATTAAATTCCATATTTACTGACATATTCTATATTTTCCAATTTATTATTTACAAAACTGAAAGGTTTGGCAATACATTTCTAAGAATTTTGGTATTAAATTCTATTTGTGGAAAAACGAATATTTATAGATATGTAGATAAGAAATTACACCTCAATGCAAAATTTCCAGCACAGAAATTCAATATTCTAACGTTTACAGCCAATGAAATAGTGGCCAGATATGTTAGAATATTGAATTTTTGTGCTGGAAATTTTGCATTTAAGTATAATTTCTTATCTACATGTACAGTACAGTACCATACAGTTCCAGTTTTCTGGTACAGTTGGTGTTTATTGTTTTATTTATGGATAACTGTGGAAAGAAAATAATTACAATATGAAAACAAATTCATAAAATAAATAAGTGAAAAATAAGTAAATAAAAAATCATGTGATTCTTGAAAGTATCTCACATTACTATTGTGATTTCAGACAGAATTACTAAATAAATAAAACTAAATAATTCTAATTCTATATATCTTTTTAGATAATGTGTAAAATATTCTCAAAATAATGTTTTCAATTTCTAAATCAGTATCAATTTTTTTAACAAACACTTTATCTTAAAAAATTTACCAAATATGTGAGTTAATTAAAACAATAATTTAATTAACTTAAATAACTAAAAATATAATAATATTTACCATTGATAAAAATTCATTAAGATATTTACTTCTCTTCTGCCAGAATGAAGTTCATAAAGACAAGTGAAAATTCTTCTTCAGTTGTTTGAACAATCAAGCAAACCTCCATGATCTGACGTCAAAACATTGTCAATGTTGTACAAAGCCAACAATAAAATGTAAAATACTAAAATCTGACCTTTAGTGTAACTGAAAAATAGAAATTCAAAATACTATATTTAATATCATATTTCATTATTTCAGTATTCTTTCTAACTTTCATATTTTCACTAAATTAAAATAAATATTTTAAATCAATCATAGTCTAGATTACATAAGAGAAAAATAACATTAAAAATTTTATAAAGATGCATGTAACTTAAAATTGAAGTAAATTATAAATCACAATTTGTCTTTAATTTCATTTCTTTTAGATGGCAATATAGACTGAACCTCTTTAATCTGGCATTCTATGGTCTGGCAATTTTTGGATCTGCCACCAATAGTCTGTAGATCTATTACGTCTGTTTACTTAATTCAAAGGAAATTAATTATGGAAAAGCCAAGTACTAAAAGAAAGATTGGTTGAAGATCACTAATCATTAAGAATATAATTTTCTTTATATTTTTAGCAATTATTTCTGTTATTTTTGTTAACCATTGCCATTGTATATTACCACCGTGGGCAAATGTGGCTCTTTTGGAGTTACATGCGGCTCTTGCCAAAAGTGTTAATTTCTGCTTTTTATTATTATTTTTACAATTTTATTTCCATAATTTTGTGAAAATATGTTTATTAAAAAAATTCANTGTACTACTAGAGCTATTTTTGCATCATAATAAATATCTTCTATCATTACTTTTGTTATCCATTTTTCACTCAAAAATTATTGTTATAACATTAGTAGTAGTGGTTTGACACATACTGATCACAAATCTTAATTTTATATTAAACTTATTTTAATTAATTATTATATTTCATTTAATTATTAAGTTGTGCTAATTTGTAATAATATTTTAAAATAAAAATTTGTCGAGTAAATTAAAACATAACAATTTGAAATAATATTTTAACAATAAGGCAAAGTTTAATATATTCTGTTTAATTATCAAATTTATTAACACTAACCCTTCAAACATTTTTGAGAGTTGAAATTTAATCTATATTAAAATATCAATTAAATATATACAAAGAAAACTGTTTATTAAAATTTATTTTAATACTTACCACTTGAGAATTTTTGGGAAGCTGGAATTAAATTTTTTAAAATATATCAATTGGATATAGATGTATATGAAAAATATACTTACAATTCATCTTATTGAATGTTGAGGTTTGCTAATTGTTGAAACTTCTTGATTCTGATGAAAAAATTACTCCTTATTTATACTTAAATTCAAAGATATTGAGGAGGTGTGGTTGAGAATTATTAATATATATCTGCTAAAGTTGTAATACTTGATTTTTATTAACTAAAATATTTTGGAAGAATAATATTATCACTATAGTTAGTAAATATCAATGATTATCCATTGCTTTTATATATGAATTTAATAAGTATTTACATTGGGATTTTATTGCTAACAAATACTAAATGAACAATTTATTGTAGCCTATACACATAAATTAAATATGCAATCAATTAGTGAATATCCAAAGTTAAATGAATCAATAATGACATTGTTGGAAAATTATTTCAAAACATCAGAAGTTATCATTTGTAAATAGTCTCAATGTTTAACAACATAAAGATGCCCTTTATTTGAAAAAATAAATAAATTTATGATGATGATTACGATTTCATGCCAATATTTACATACTTCAAAATGTCTTCTTTCAGAAACCAATTCAGAGAACCTGATTAGCATTTGATTTATATTGAATATCTAACATTCTCATGTCAAATATAATAAAGTAAAATTATTAAAATATATTAAAAGTAATATAAAAGGATAATAACTCAGTTATACAGTTGATAGTTTTCAATAATACAGTAGATCCTTGGTTAACCAAAGCTGTACACTACATTAATTAAACTGTAATTCAAAAAGAAACTTTAAAATGATAGCACATATGAATAATTTTCTGTTACCTTTTATCATTTAATGTGAGACAAACCATTCATATTAAAATTTAACTACAATAATACATATTTTTATCCTTAAAACTATTGTACATATTAGTTGTATAATGAATAATAAAACTGTTATTCTTAAATTTGATTAAATTCAATAAGATACATAAAAAAGGCTTAATTTATATGGTATAAATGGCTGGATTTATAATTTTTAATTTGAAATGACTGTGGTTGTCTGTCTCATTAAAGTTTTTCATTATCTGAGGTAACACTGATCCTCATTAACTCAGATAATCAGGGTTCTACTATATAAAAAAATAAAGATTATAAATAGATATTAGAAATGTTCAGTAAATTAACTTATTTAAAAATATAAAAATTATCTTCAGTGTTTAATCAAAATTAAAATATGATTTTATTTAACTTAATAACAATCAATTAAGAAGAATTAATGATGCTACTTTTGCAGTACAATAAAATCACTCAAGTGTAGCTTCATTTATAATAGAACAACTTAATTTTAACTTTATTTGGAATAGATTATATTATCATCATAAAAAATAGCAATATTTTAGCATCATTTATCATTTAATGATGTTAGGAAATGAAATCATCATCAGATAATGACAATTTTTGGTCTTTTAAACTAAATGAATAACACAAAGAATATAAGTGAATAAAAAAGTTTTACATATCTAAACAGTAATTAATAAGATGGCTCTATAATTCTTTTAAATAAAACTAAAACCAAATTTACATTTAAAAAAATGCAAAATAATTTTATCATCAAACTTTCCAAATAGTCAAAATATCTAATTCTTAAAAAGTTCATACAAAAATCAATTCTCAATATTATTTCAAATCTTATTGTTCATTTGCTTATTTTATTTTTATGCTAGAAAACAATCCTAAAATCAAATGCAATATAAGCTCCAACCTATTCATATGATTTTAAAATCAACAAATCAAACTATAATATAAAAAATTATATAATGTCTTTAATCATAATTACTGTTCAAGTTTAGTTAAGGAAAACTGAAAATTGATTAATTGAACTTGATTAATATGAAAATGAAGTTGAATAAAATACTCCAATTCATTAAACATTTTTACTTTATCTCAAAAGAATAGAAATGACTGTCTTTGCTCTAACTTCATAAAATAATTTAAAATATATGTATTATGTACTATACAGTACTTTATATAAAAACTTTAGCTATACATAGAAAAATATATATATATATAAAAGGTTTAAGAAATATTGTTTCTCTCTTTCATTTTTTTAATTTGTTATATATATATATATAACTTATTTTAGTTCTAAAAAAAGAAAAATTACCAAAAAAGCTTTTAAAGATACATTTTTATTGCAATACATAACAGTGATTGGAAAAAATGTATTGCTCTTGCAATAAATTGGCCAGGCTATGTCAGAAAGGCATTCTGAGCTAATGCAAACAGTTAAAACTGTCACTCTTTTAGTTGATTAGATACATTGCTTCTTTGTGACACTTCAAAATGTCACTTTGAACAGACTAAAAGAAAAAGGAACTTCATTAAATCTCATCCAAAACAAGCAAAAATAGTCTCAATAACTTCTCCCATATATATACACTTCTCATTATACACTAAAGTATAATGATTGTCAAAGAGTAAATTTCTGGAAATGATATTTGAGCTCTAAAATAAAACCAAATTCCCTCTTATTGAATGATGAGATCCATACTGACGTAGAAACTCAACACTTAATGAACAATTGAAAAAGACTAAAAGTAATCTGAACATGCAAAGAAATTGTAAGTCATTACTATTGTAAATGATTTTCTTGAATCATTGGATTAAATAATCAATACAAAATTAGCTTGTCCTCTAAGAACATCTCTTATCATTGGCTTCCAAATTAGGAGAGTACTTCCCATAAATAAAAAAATGCAATGAATGAGAAATCCATTCATAGAATAAAATATTCAAAAAGCAAATCTAACTTCAATAAATGAAGATATGGTGATTGAAATGTCATGTGATTCAACTCTGAAATTGTATTTATCACTGTTAAACATTTTTGATTTAAAAACAAAGCAAAAGCAAAAATACCCAAAACTGTGGATTGTAAAAATACATCATCAGAATACTCCCAAGAATAGTAAAATATTTAGTAATGTTTTTGATTATTTACTTATGTAAACAGATATTTTCATTTTTTGAGGTTTTAAAACACAAATATAGGAATAAATTTAGTATTTAGAATGATATGGAAAGTTAAAACTGACTTCAATCAATATCTAGACTACTTGAAACCATCCTTCTAACTATTACAACTTTATTATAATTTCTTTGAATTTCATTTGTAATATTAAAAGAACATTTTCAATGATTTTTATATTAAAAATATACTTGAAAAGTAATTTTAATTACTGATATAGTTTTGATAATTATTTTTTGATAAATAAAAAAAATGAAGATTGAAAATTTTCAATTTTCCCATTAAATTTTGTAAAAACTTATTTTTTGAAACAAGAAAAGAAGTTAGGTATCTTTGGATCATTGTTTAATGGACAACAGATCACAAAGTTCAAGAAGTACTGCTATAAAGGTTATATTTATTTATAGAAATGATAAAAAGTTTAAATATTTAATATAACAAGTCAATGATTTTTACACTTGTTCTATAAATATAAAAACAATTTTTTATTTCATAAATCTGATTTTTTCAAACTGTAAAAAGTATAAAATTGATAAAAACTACGAGAAAAACTTTTTTTAAATTAGATTTTGAATCCATTATATACTTATAATGATTATCCAAAAATAGATGTGGAATGTTGTTATTCTATCCCAATAGTTACTGGTCAGAAAATTATATTTTTCAATAATGTGTAATATATAACATCCTTAAGAAAAGTTACCAGTAAAAATTCATGAAGATAATCTAAGTAAATTTTAAAAAGTTTTGTAAATAAACAATTTTGAACATAATTTTTTCAATGCTGCTTAAAAATCAATATAATTTTTCCTCTATATTTCACATGTGAATATATTATTTATAAAATTGGTTACTTACTTCAATGCATTTGTTTAAATTACTTATTATTATTATTAGTAACATTTATTATTTAAAATTAAAATAACAATTTTTGTTACAATTTATTCATACCAGATGAAAAATACTGTCTACAGAAATATTTCATCTAAAATAAGCAATTTATATAAAGTCAATAATGCTGGTTTAAATATTATTGATAACAATGATTATATAATATTTTATTTTTAAAAATTTACGGCTTTCATATTATTTATTTACATACCGAGCACAAAAAGTTAAGTTACTTATAGTAAATTCTTACAGAACATGTAGCAACAGATAAATGCGCAATGATTTTAAAACCTGGTAATTAAAGTAATAAAACATGATTGTGATTTACATAATAATTCAGCTTGTCAGGCAATTTCATACTAAAAATTTCAGAAAATAAACACACTGAAATGTACTCAAATCTCAAATTTTTAAAGAATTACAAAAACATAAAATTAACTATTTAAAAACTTACTTTTTAATAATAAAATTCTGTTATAAAATTTAAAAAAGCCCACACAAAAATTTGTAAAAAATAAACTTCTGAAATTTCATAGTTTAAGTTTAAAATAAATTTTTCTGAAAAACAAAAATAATCAATATTTGCATATATTTATACTCTGAAGTATTTATATTTACCATAACTCTGAATAAGTCAAAAAAACCAAATAAATTAGATTATAACTTTTGGAGAGTAAAGAAATATATAATTAACACTAAATTTAGATACTTTTGAGTTACAAAATTCACTGATGTATTTGTAATGAGAAAATATTTCATAATGTTAACATAAATAAACACAATACATTATTCTATTATGTTGATATTAAGTTATCTGAATACTATTTTATTTTGACTTAACATTGAAAATAAATTTGTATATAAATACCAAGATTTATATTATAGAATTTTGAATAATATTGATAAAATTTGGAAATTTTTATTCAAAATTTGCAAAATTTTGATTTAAATTTTTACTCACCAGATAAACTTATTGAATATTTCTCATAGACCATCATTGATAAATCACATCATCCGAATCAGTTTAAATCTTATTCCTACTGTTTTTGTACATTCACGGAATTCTATATTTATTGAAAAATCGAATGTATATTTTTAATTTACAGTTAAAAATTTAATTACCATTTAAAAGTTTTTCAAATTATAATAAATGGTTTTTAAAAGTTTTATCAGACTAAAAAAAAAATATGCAATGCACTATTAGAACCATTGTTTACAATTGAAATTTCTTAAGTATTTCATAAAAATAAATAAATAAAGTATTTTATGAATTATTTTTTTATTACAAAACATTTTCCCACTTATTTAAATTATAAACACATAGTCCTTTTAAATAGTACATTAACACATTCATATACAAAAGTACAATATATATTAAACTATAGCAATTTAAGTACTATCTATTCTTCGTATTAACATACTTAAATTTACGTTAAGATACACAAAATAATTTACATATTGAAATTAAATTACTCATATTTTATCAATATATATCAAATCGTGTTTTTAAATGGCTTAACAAAGATTTGTAGAAATGAATAAACTCTCACTATTAGTTTAAAAAATGAATAAGTAAGTGCAACAAGATTAACCTGATCAATGAAATACTGGCTGTGTTCAGCAGACTCAACAGTAGTAACCAAGCAAATCGGGAGCCGTTACGTAGCAACCCAGATCTGCCGAACCACGAGCGATGTCACATCGCAACAAAGTCTCTTCGGTCAGTTTCGGGTAGCGATAAGTAGCGTAAACGAAAGACGCTACCAAATGCGACATCAAAACAACAAACATTCCGAAAGAGTCTACCGTAGAGGACGTTCAGCAGAAAAATACTCAATGGCTCCAGAAGTGTAGAGTCTGCCGAACGCAGCCATTATTAAACTGTAGCAGTGATTTTAAGAAAATATATTAGAATTTAGTTAGAAAACTGCATTAAATAGTTCTTTAAGAGAAAAATAATCATATTTTTAATATATAATTGTTGGAATATATGAGAAATTTTTTGTAAAAAAATAATTATAAAAATCAGTTTCCATAGGGATAATATTTAAAAGCAGATGCTTATTTTTCTCAATAAATTTAAACTGAAAAAAAAACAAATAAAAAAAAAGCAAAATTTCAACATTTGTATGTAACTGACAAATTAAATTTTCTTACAAATTGTGTCAATAATTAAAATTCTGCTATCAGATTCAATTTTAATATATTTAATATAATTTTTAACTTACAAATAATCCAATTGGCTGATTTAAGTATATTTAACTTTCAAATATCCAATCGTATACTACATTACACGATTTCGTTTCTGTTCCACACACACAGGCCAATAATATATAATGTTATCATATGTGATATTTATGTCTTTAAGTAGGACATTCTTTACTTTTTCCTAGACGTATTTGAGGTAGTTGATTTGATTAATCACTGAAACTGTTTTTAAAATTAAACTTACATCAAATAAACTCCAAATAGTAACAAAGTAATAAACAGGCCATAGAATCATCGCAGTTGTCAACTTGTCTTCACATCTTACAATTCCTGTTTCGTGACGTCGGCAAATATAGCCCAAAAATAATTTTAAAAAATAATATGAAAAAGAACGTAAAAATTAATATATTTTTATCAACTAATTAAACTTTACATTAATAATATAAATTTTAAAATATTTAACTCATAAATTAAAAAAAAAATTATTTAAATGGTTTCATATTTTCAACAGAAATTATATAATTTATAATGCAAAATGTTGTGTATTTTAAATTCCATTGGTAATCTAATCTTAGCGGCCGTTTAAGTATTATATCAGCAAAAATTTTCGCTGTTTTATCCCTCTTTCCCCTGCATCACAGTCATCAGATGGCGCGGCCGGATGGCCGAGCGGTCAAGCTGGCAGCCCACCGCTCTGGGGGACCCGGACTCGAATCCGGACAGCTCGAAAAATCCCAAGGAATTTTTTTGGTGGTGATCCGTCCAGATATGTCGACCCCCGTCCCTCGCCACCCGGCCGCTCCATTGTGGACCTGGCCGAACCCATAATGGGCTAGCTATAACAGGCCTTCTTAATGCCCACAGGGCGGAAAGAGCAAAAAATAAATAAAATCGTCAGAAATCAAGATATCTTCTTCCCTTAAGAATGTCATCAGGCCAGAAGTTAAAATCATTCGCATATACACGGAAATTATATATCTATTTATAACATTGCTTTTATTCATTGTGGCAACCACAAGCTGAAAATCACAACCGTCGTTTTTGTAGATGGATTTACACATTAGAAAATAATAAATTATTGTGGAAATAAACGCCGGAATATGAAGGACACCTGATATATATGTAATTTAAAAGGAATGCTATAATAATATATTGCAGTCATCCTCCACAAATTTTGCAATGACTAGGGAGAAAAATAAATGATGGATGCAATCTTACGTCAGAAAAGATTTTACCCTCCCTCCCTTCCTCATCGTCAGTAATCTTCAGAACAAACGAACCTTCTCTTTCCCATAAATTAGAAACATAATACTTCAATGGTTCCTTAACTTTTTTTCGTAATGACACCGCGTTGTACTTTGCATCTTTGTCTTTCCCCTAGTCCAGAGAAATCTTAGGGTCCCAAAGTGATTCCAAACCCTATAAAATTAACGTTAATTTTACTAATAAATAAAATCTTGAACACTACTTTTTTCTTAATAACTAACTGAGGTACTCGGCATCCCTCGGAAAATGATATACGTAAAGGTATCGTATAGAAATACAGAGTTAAAAATGTATATATCTATTATGTATTGGTAACACTATTGCCTCGGGGATTTGGGGGTGTAAAAATGGCTTACAAAGGCTTTCATTTATACGTAGGACACTGACCAGACAGAGGCCGTCACCCGTGATCCTACGTATATAATAAACCCGTGATCCTACGTATAATACGTAGGATACGTCACCCGTATCCTACGTATGATTTTTTACCGTAGTCTTTGTTGCACTTTTTTTTAAGTGCAACAAAGACTACGGTAAAAAATCATAGACTTGGTTCTATTCGTAGTGGTTAAGACATAATGCCGAAAATAATATACTGTATATTTATAATATAATAGATCCAATCAAAAACAATTTTACATCGAAAATAATTCTAATGACTCACTAATAATCTGATATAGGTGAAATGGCAATGGTAATACGTTTAGAACTACATACATTTTGCTGAAATAATAGGCTGGCCAGCTTTCACCGATGTCTACTTTCACTCGCTAAAGACCGCAACATTAGCCTACTGTATTCGAATTTCATGATTCATTTGACATTCACCACCCTCTGAGCAGGGCCGGATCATCGCATAGACAAATGAGACAAATGTCTAGGGCCCGGTTTTTAGAAGGGCCCGATCAAATTGTCTATTTTAAAAAGATTTGTAAATAAGATAGTTTACTTTTCTGTTGGACAACTGCATATAATAAACAAAAATATACAGTATTGCTTTTTATATGGTTATAGTAAATTCTAAAATCTAAAGAAAATGTACGTGGGTTGTTCAAAAAGTTCCCGAACTTTTTGAATAGCGCGCCTTCAGTTGGTTATTTTTTAATTCCCTTGGAGGTGTTGTGTCCGCGGAAACCTCCCGAGTAACCTCCTTCAACCCGTTTGTTGATATCTTGTTTTGGTGATTAGTTACGGCCGTTTATGTGAAGGGGTGTTTGTGGGGTTCGGCGAAAAATCGGATCTGCGGAAATCAGCTCTTTGAAAGAGCAGCGTTGTTCTGTGAAATTCTGTGTGAAACTCCGAAAATCCTTCACGGAACTTCCCACGGGTGAGTGAAACAGTGCTCCAAAAAAGCTCAACAACTTCGCTCAAATGTTAAGGTGATGTTGACTGTTTTTTTCGATGCAAAGGGGGTTGTGCATCACAAATACCTATCTACAGGCCATATAGTCAATAACTTGGTGTTGACTGTATGGCCTGGAGTACTACTTGATGTTATGAAACGCCTAAGAGACAGAATCAGGCGAAAACGGTTCGAACTTTGGAGGAGCGGCGAGTGTTTTTTTTCATCACGACAACGCGCCAGCTCATTTGTCCCTCAGAACTCGTGAGGTTTTGGCCAAAAACAAGACCGCTGTGCTTCCCCCTACTCACTTGACATGGCACAAAGAGACTTTTTCCTGTTCTCCAACAAACTAAAAAACACGCTCAAAGGAAAAAGATTTGCCACCATTCCAAAGATAGAAAAAAAAAACGACAAAGGAGCTTATGAGCATTCTGGAAAAAGCGTTCAGGACCGTTTCAAAAAGTGGAAACACAGTTGAAATAAGTGTATACGTTGCGGAGGAGACTATTTTGAAGGGGACCCTGACAAATATGTGAAGTACTTTTTTTTTGTAATAAATAAAGTTCAGGAACTTTTTGAACACACTCTCGTATTCTTATGTTTCTTCTAATTCAGTGGTTCCCAATTAGTGGTACGCGTACCCCTGGGGGTACGCGAAATTGCGTGAAGGGGTACGCGCGGCAATTAAAATCGGTCGATTTAAAATTTAAGTGCATGAGATGAAGCAATCAAAAAAATAATGGGTGAACCATCAAAAATTCGGAAATTTACGTTGTCAACTTGTCTTCACATCTTACAATTCCTGTTTCGTGACGTCGGCAAATATAGCCCAAAAATAATTTTAAAAAATAATATGAAAAAGAACGTAAAAATTAATATATTTTTATCAACTAATTAAACTTTACATTAATAATATAAATTTTAAAATATTTAACTCATAAATTAAAAAAAAAATTATTTAAATGGTTTCATATTTTCAACAGAAATTATATAATTTATAATGCAAAATGTTGTGTATTTTAAATTCCATTGGTAATCTAATCTTAGCGGCCGTTTAAGTATTATATCAGCAAAAATTTTCGCTGTTTTATCCCTCTTTCCCCTGCATCACAGTCATCAGATGGCGCGGCCGGATGGCCGAGCGGTCAAGCTGGCAGCCCACCGCTCTGGGGGACCCGGACTCGAATCCGGACAGCTCGAAAAATCCCAAGGAATTTTTTTGGTGGTGATCCGTCCAGATATGTCGACCCCCGTCCCTCGCCACCCGGCCGCTCCATTGTGGACCTGGCCGAACCCATAATGGGCTAGCTATAACAGGCCTTCTTAATGCCCACAGGGCGGAAAGAGCAAAAAATAAATAAAATCGTCAGAAATCAAGATATCTTCTTCCCTTAAGAATGTCATCAGGCCAGAAGTTAAAATCATTCGCATATACANCGTAGGTGCGACAAAAATATGGAATAAAATGGTTCAAATTTTTACAAGATATTATTTATTGCGAAATTTTGCCGCCTCTTAAAAGTGCCGCCCCTAGCGGGCCCCACTATGCTTCGCCACTGCCAAAAAAGCAACCAGATTTTACAAAGTTGTGCAAAGAAAATCGTGCACATTTGTCGCATTAAAATTAAATAACCTTATGTTATTTTCATTATTATTAGAATTGTATTTTAAAGGTAATAAATGTAAAAAAAAGCTTATTCTATTTATTACTAGCTGTGTATCCACAGCTTCGCCCGCATTAAATCGAATTTTCTCGTGGAAGTAAGGGTGCGACTATGCAGACGCGAATTTAGAGCGAGCGAGAGGTTGCGAGCGATTTAGTTTTCGCAAAGGAAAACCATGCACAAACGTTAGCGGGAAGCGAATTTCTGGTTCTCGCACATATCTGACAGGTTTTGATATTTATCGCGTCTCGCCTCTTCTCGCCACATATTCTCGCTCGCTCGGAAAATTCGCTCGCTCGCGTATCGGAAGATGCTCCTGGAAGCAAGATTAAGCTTAATTAAAGTTTTTTATTTACATTAAAAAGATCCTGTGGGAAACTTCGCAGCCTAAGATATTTTCTCGCAGTAAAGTGTAGCCTATGTCCATCTCCAACATGTAAGCTATCTCTGTGCCAAATTTTATTAAACCTGTTTAGCGGTTTAGACGTGAAAAGGTAACAGACAAACAGAATCGTCTTTGACTTTATAATATTAGTATGGATTAATATGAATTTCTGCTATAAGGGGTACGCGAGTTTTAGCTCTTTCTTGAAGTGGTACGTAGGAAAAACTAATTGGGAACCACTGTTCTAATTGAAAGTAAAAGGGAACTCCCAATAATTTAGAATTGTTTTTATAGCAATAAGAATAATATTAACTATATGTATTCTTGAATCCTGTGAAATATTATTAAATAATTTTGCTTTTATTTTTTATTAAGCAGCTGCAGTGTCCTTGTGCGATTTAATAGAAATAATAGTAAAAAAATTTATTGATTAAAAGAGCCGGCAGGGGATCCTGAAGAATAAAATGTCTAGGGCCCCAATATGGGTTAATCCGGCCCTGCCTCTGAGCAAAACTTCCTATTCACGCTAAAGACCTTATAAGAAGAAGGTATAGCTATAATTATTTACTCATGCAAACGATATAATTTTATCAAACAGGGCGTCGATCCATTTCGGATAGAGGGAACAAATCCCCTATATTTTTGTACCAGCAAATTGTCCTCCCCTCAACGTA